TGTTTTTGTTTACTTGGGTTGTTGTCGTTTTGAGGTTCGAACATGAAAGAAACGCCGTGTGGTAACAGTTGTTGACTGATTTGGCCTTTTACTATTTCCCTGTGTGGTCGACGCTCTAGGTCTGCATGTGCAGTACACGCGATTATAGAATGGGGTAGACTTGTTCTAGGTTCCAATGGAGAATAATTGTTATACTAATAAAGTGGTTATTTTTCTAACCCTAATCTAATTTAATTTTTAAATATGGTTATTGTTCAACCATAGATCCAATCCTTTTTTTTAATAAAATCCTTTTGTCTAACAATGAAAAATCATGTCCAAATTAATCAACATAAAAGATTTTTTAATAAAATTTTATAAAATATTTATTTCAAATCCTTTTTTTCTCTTTAACTTTATTTGATATTCATTTTTCTAATTAACATTTAATCAGTCTTTGTGATCTATTACATGATCACAACATAAAACTTATATTACCATTTTATGTTTAATTACTTAAAATAAAAGTCTTGTAATTTATTTTTAGGTATATTAAACGTTTTATTAAGAAAAATATTCATTATTTTTTCTTTAAAAAAATTAATCATAATTGAAAACAATATCTTCAAAGTAAAATCTCCAAGTCAAAACCAAGATTTTGTCTAGTTAAGTTTAGGTAGAAATTCCAACAGTCAAAAGAAAGAGGAAGAAAGGTAATGGGAGACCACAAGCAAAAGGAATGTGAATGATCCCTAGGTGGCTCACCCATCGCCCTATAACGGTGGAGTAGTTGAAACAGAGAGAGCGCGTGGGACACTATCTAATCGCAGTTTCAAAGGTTACCGGCTACTGTCTAAACTGGTTAAAAGTTTCCGTATAGACCGTACAGATAAGACGGCACAATAAATAATTACTTGGATCTCGATCAGGTAATATCAACCTTACTGATTTCTTGGTACCTGGCAGGTATTTATTGGTTCAATCCCTTTCCCTCCCCATTAAAAGGGAGACACGTGTTCATAGACGATGGACCTGACCTCATGGGAGCAGTAGACTTTCTTTAGACAGACGGCAATGACGCTGCAACGGACGGGCCCCCACATGGATACCAGTAATGGTAGGCTATTCACACATGCACTATCTTTAATGGTGGAATCACACGTGTGGGAAAAATGGCACATGTGTGGGACCCCTTTTGAATATGGAAAAAAACTTGAGCTTCGGCAGCCCACCACCACCACTGTAGTACCCCTGTACCACACCAAATGTTCAAAATAAGATGATGAGCCCTGCCTACGGTGCAAATACAAAGCCCTTATCACATCAAAAAGGAAAACAAGGGGAATCTCCAGCGGACATTTCCAATTCATCATTGGCCCAATACGAATCTAAGCCTGACGATGCTAGAAAACATTTACTAGTCCCAAAAAAAAGGCCATCAAGATCTAAGGTAAACAGCCACCCAAAAACTCCAACGATGGCGATGTCCGAACCCAGCTTGGCATGCAATGCTTGATTACAATTCCACAACATGTTGGGAACAACCTTCGGTCCTGGCTGGCCATGCCCAAGTATCCTCTTTCTCCAGTACCTTAAGTTCCCTGTTTGGTTAGACAAATGAATTTTTCACAACCAAGGATGCCAGCTTGCAATCACGTACACAATTCAGTGCTCTTTTGTTCCTTATTCACATGAGTGGACGAGCATCATTAATCTTACAAAAACCATAGAAATTGCTTTACTCAGATATGCCGACAGGCTATACATGACATATCTTTTCGCAAGGCTTAGATTTCTACTATCAATTTATATAACAAATGGGTGGTGAAAAAATTTAAAGGGATCGTTGTAAAATGTACTGAGAACAAAACAAGAAGATTGCACAAGTCCCACAGATTCGAACCTGACAGTGGACATTTGACTACTAAGTTAGTAACATGGATTGCAGATATCCCCATTACAGACCATCAACATCCAACCAAGCTTATAGCCTAGTAAGTGTTAAAACAGAATGGAAGTAATTCGATATCAGGCCAATAATTCCCAAGAAATGGTTGTTTCTTTATCATTCCTGATTAGATGCCTCCATACGCGCGGATGTGCCAGATACAGGCAACTTGAGACAGCATGAATAGCTTTCTAACGTAAAAGGCCATAATAACCTGAATCATTAGGGCGAATATTGGACTTGTGAAAGTAATTGACCAGAACTGGCTCAACAAACACAGTTCCCTTCTTATTTCTTTCTATTATCAAAATACAAAGAGGTTGCCCTCTCAATCAAAATTGCATCCTGACTAAGCACAACAAAGAAAAAAAAATTAAAAAATAAGAAGTTAAAAACTTACAAGGGATCCACAATGACGAGGATCCCAACCCTTCTAGGTGCCCTTTTTCAACCACCTGAAAAGCATCTGATCAAAATTGTCCAGGCTCTGAGCTGAGCTAAGGAAGTATCCTCACTTTGAAATCATCTCTGCTCCTGATCTGACCCTCACCACACAAAAATATTTTGGCATTAGTTATTTACTAATTTGATCAATTGAGAATAATAGCTTGGAAACAGAAATGAAGTTTGGTTTCAACTTCTAAATGATGAACCATCACAGCCAAGACAATCAGTCAACCATTAACTGAACTCAGGCATCAGCAGAACATATGAGAATGCAAACATATAGGTATATTTTGTTTACAAGTTCAAATAGTTAATTTCACAAGAATGGACACAGTGTAAAAGCAAATGAAAATCACATATAATCCAATTTAAACTTTTTGCAGGCAATGCCAGACAAACTTATGTTAGAAAAGAGAAAGCAACATACTTGAATATCTCCTTACCGAACCATTGCCATTAAGCGGAAAATGCACTGCTTTCCTTTCTTGACCCAAAGAGAGAATCTCTTGCATTCTTTCTGGCCAATCGGAATTCAATCTACGGGCAAAATCTTCCACCTCCCTAAACAAAAGATGTAATGGAAGATCATTAGGGCTCCATAAAAAAATTTCCTCCAAAATAGAGCAAAACAAGTAAAGAAGTTATTTAAGATTGTTACTTCATTGGCTACAATATTCATTGTTGTTGTATACATTCTACTTTTCCTCCACTATTAGGACTATAAAATTCGAACAATGTGTAAAAATAATATCGACAAAATACAGAGATTTTCAACAGACCAAGAGCTTTAATTCAGATTCTTTTAAACTTCGAAAATAGTCCAGTTAGACAGAATAAGCAGAACATCAGATGACAGGATTTTCTGTTTCTATTACTACACAGATGCAGCAGCACTTCTTTACATAAACCTTTAAAACAAGAATAAGGTGAGGTCATAATGTTTATAAAGTCTAGTTATTACAATATTTACTTGGCAGCTCATCCTCTGGGACATTTGTCTGTAATAGATCAACAGAAAATGGAGAAGGAGAAACAGAGGAAAAAACAGAGAGAGAGAGAGAGAGAGAGAGAGAGAGAGAGAGAGAGAGGAGACATGGACCCCAACTGCATCCCTAAGCCCTATTTAACCTCCCAAACAAGCAACATAAAACATCCACTTGATATATATCAAAGAACAAAAACACATATGTCCGAAAACTTCAATATCCTGGATTTATTTCCCTGAACCCAGACAATTGAAGAGGAAGTACACACTAAACTCTAAGGCAAATCCAGGGCTATATGACCATTTTCTCCTTCAATGCTGACAAAGAGAGAGGAGAAGAAGAAGAAGAAGAAGGGAGCGAAGAGGAAGCGGAAGATTCACACAAAGGCAAAAATCCATCTTCACCTGTCTATTTTTTCCTTCAATGCCGGATCAATCTCATCATCAATATCACCATCATCAAACTCATTCTTATTAGCAAAAATATCATCTTCAACATCCTGTAAGTTTGAGGTAGCACCAATACTGGGCTGAATTTTCTGATCAACTTCAGAACTATGGCATACAGAGTTAAGACCATTTGACTCCTGGAACATGAGGGGAACTTCAGTAAGTTGACAATATTGAGAGTAAGAAAGAAGAAACAATGGAGAGGTTCAGACCTCACTATGGTTTTTATTGGCTTCATTGGCAGACGTGCTCTTCTGCTGATCTTTTCTTCTTCGGTTCTTCTTTTTACTCTTTGAAGTTTTAATCCCTTTAGAATCTGCAAAACAGAATTCCCTTACCTCATATGAGGCCTTCAGAAGGAATTAGAAAAAGAACTAAGAGGCGAAGCTTATGGTATCCATAAAAGCAGAAAATTTTTTTAAAGATTACAATTCCAATATATGAAACTGATGTGCCAGTACAGATGCCAGCTACCAAACAGACATGCATAATTAGAATTCTAAACACTTTATCTGTTACTTAATATTCATAATTGAGTGTAAAATCTTGACAATTATTAATTTAGTTTATTGGAAATTAGTCCAAGATCAAGTTCCTAGAAGATGATTTAAGGGAACAAATAAATGCACATAAATCATTTTATTATCCTATACTCTGAAAAGTTCATTTTCCATCTACAAAACAGGTCATCTTGTAACATCTTTAAAGAACAGACATATTTTTTCCCATGTTTTTGTGACTTATAATCATTACACTGATTTCTGGTAAAGGAACACAATACACATTTGCATTTTTGTCTGATTTTGGACTTATCATTCACTCTTCTGTCCCTCACACCCAAATGACTGCAGAAGACAAAAACAAATTTGGACATTGAGATTGACACATGAAATGCAACCAGAGAAGCGAAACTGAATTTTACAATTCCTTGTAGGAGAAGGGAGTAGGACCATATATCAAGACTCTTCTGCCAATTCAAGCAGGTCAACCAACCAAAATATTCATGAAACAGAGAAGGGTTTGCAGGACTACAATCTTTGGGATAGAAACCAATACATGCAGGAAAACTACATCCCATTAAAACTTAAGCATACCTCCATTGTCTCCATTTATAAACGACAAGAGGTCATCAACTGAACGATCGTCCACACGCTCTTCTTCAGCCTCAACATTCTGAGACACAAAGAAGTTTTAACTTATTTACATGCATTTTAGGCATGGCCTTGGATAATGATGAATTATAAAATTAATTGACAAGGAAATTCAAGTCAACCAAAAAAACGCAATACTATAGAGTAAAATTGCACAGGCAGAAAATAATCATGACATGAAAAGAACAGAAAACAAGCCAGAGACAGTCACCTTTAGTTTCTCTCTCTCTTTCAGTTCCTTCCTCTTTTTTGCATACAATCTATTCAACAGTCGAATGCGTGGGTCATCAGTTGTGTTTTTCAAAGGCTCCAATTTTTCTTCCTAAACCAACAAAATAAGTACTAAAAATAAGAAAAGAGGTTAAGAAAACTAACATAATAAAGAAAAGAGGTTCCAACAAGCACCAGACACCTCAGTAAGATCATCAGGCAAATGAAATATCTCACGTATCTCCTCAGGGGTTTTCCCCTCAATTATTCGTGCAAGGGCACGACTAGTAAGATCAACTAGAGGCTTTAACTGAAGGCTATCAGCAGCAGACGTCAACTCACAGAGCCTCTTTGTGTCCATTCGAATAAACTTTTCGTCAAAAGACTTGCGCTCCTTCAAACAGGAAAAAACACGAAGGAAGAAGAGGAAGCTCAGAGCCAGTTTGCCATATGGAACTCAATATCCCATAAACATGAATTCTCTTTCTTTTCAAAAATAAAAAGGTGCGCAAAATATAAGGAATGTACAAAGAAAATCATTCTATACCTAAAGAATAGAAAATAATTGGCTCCATTTATGCCACTCCCAGAAAGATTAAATATCTACTAAAGAAAGGAAGAGGAGAACATCAAACATAAGAGGTAAATGCCAATTGAGAAATACGTTGAACCCACCTTGTTAGAGCGACCAGGCACTTGATGAAATCGGCAATAATCAAGAATTAGGCTTAACATAGCAGGATTGACTCGCTGAGGAAGAGATATAGCATAATTCTTGGAGGATCCCATGCCCTTTTGTATCACTTCATGACAGATCATGGGGCAAAACATTGCAACCTCTTGTTCCACTTGTTGGATTGAGCCATCAGCAGTTTGAAGCCAAATATAAGACTTCATCATCTGACAATGAATTCGGCATGGCTTCAGAATCAGACTAACTGTATTAAAGATGCACTAGAAAACAAACCAAGACCACTAAAGTGTGATTGTCAGCATCACCAACTTTTACAAGAATTTCTATGCCTCTTAACAGCTAACAGTTAACCCCATCCTACCTTCTAAAGCAGTCTGTTATTTTTATCTCCCCATCCTTCAAACACTTGAACTATAAAATTTGGGGTTCTCCTTGAAACCTACTAAGAAAAATATGAAAAGCCCAAATTTTGCCAGACAGAAACCTAATTGTCATTCGGTGCTCTGCTCGGGACATTATTCCATTGAGGTGTCCATCTAGCCTAACTTACAGTAAATAAGTAAAGAAAATCAAGGAAATTATAGACATAATTGTTAAAAATGCAAACAAACAAAATCGTTCACAGAACTATAATTAGGTCCATGTCACAGCAGAGCCAAATTATTCACTAATTATCTAGGATATGTAGTTGCTAAAGTAATGTGTGTAACCCTGACAATTCTTTTTATACTACCACGAAACTGCTCCCCTTTGAACTATATGATAATGATTAATTAACCTAAAATGTAAAAGAAGTGAATTAGAAAAAGAGGATGTTACTTCGTCTCCGTTCATTATAATCAAATAAAAAAAACTCTCGATAAATTTAAATGGACTTGAACAACTTACCTCGGGTTTAATGACTGCCATATCAACCTCTGACATTTGAAAGTAGTTGAAACACCAAGAAAGTTAATTATGTAGAGCTTGTCGTAGTATAAATTGTATACTCTGCTTATCTTGTACTCAAAAGGGTTCACTGCATTCACTGCAGTAGATCAAACAACAGCTTTGCACTGCTTAAGCGACAGAGACTCTCAAACCTGTAATAAGTTGCCCACGGTACTATTATCAACGAAAAATTTCCCACTTGTACAAACATTGATTTCGGAAGAAGTTCTCAAGAGAGTACTTAAAGTTGCAACATGAAGCGGTTCAACCAGAAACAATATGAAAAGATATGCAGCTGAGTTACGGACAGATCTTCTGGGTTAAGTGGAATAACTGCATAAATAAACAATCATATCAAATTATAGTCAAGGTTCTGCAATTAAATAGTTAATAACATAAACAGGATGCAAGAGAGGGTAAATACACCTAAGCTTCTACATAAACATCATGAATGTTTTCCCCAGATCCTAAATGAACTGACTCTTTGAGTTCATGTTAACATAGACTGCTGAAACTGTTCAGAATGGATTGAATATATCGGACAGTCAACACAGAACGAGGATCTCTACCTTATCAGTATTCCTGCTGCTACACAATCAGCTATTTGGAAGAGCGAACATCGGAATCAAAGCCAGCCGCAGAAGTAAGATACTTGATATTGCAGGGGAAATAGTATAGTGGTCGAAATTTAAAGCGTTACCAGGATAACCTCAAATTTTCTTTTACCAAAAAAACACTTTCCTTCTACAGAATTTTCCTTATAGAACCCAACATTCCAAAAGAAAAGAAGTACTTTTCAAATAACTTCCAAAGTAACGTCCACATACCAACTCCACCAAAACGTAAAGCCTAAAATGGTAACAACTGGTTCTGTTCAGCAAACGAGTCTAACTCTCCATTAGAAAAACAAACGCCAACTAAGTCAATAAATGTTCCTGCTAAAGCTTCTAAATTTACAATGAAACGCTTGCTCCACGCCACTTTTTCTCCCCCATTTCTACAAGGCAATACCTGTCTATCCAAGACCTAATGACATACAATCATGAAGCATACAGATATTCTGACAGTGCAGCAGGACAAGGACTCATGTCACAATGATTCCCTCATGAGAAATCAGTACACTAATTTCTGTTCTCAGATGAGCATGGCACCTCTTATTAGACACTACTCCAGTAAATTAAAGTTATCAATTAGACCCTCCAAGTCATGTAGCTATTGCCTTATAAAACTAGTAACTTTCTTTTGATAAACTTTGACCCTGCACCTCAAGGAAAATATGAGCTAAATGAAACCCTTCCAAAGACAACACTTATGCTCTTGTTCTTGTCACACGTGGATAATTAATCTTATATGCCTATTGGCGTTACATCTGATTTCAATAATTGTAGTCACTACAAATCTACCTTTTCGTAAATTACCATCATTCAACCCACCCACGTTACTCCCCTTTGGCCCTACCTGCAAAAATTCATGAATGCAATCACTTCCAAATATATAACTTCTGATATTATGATCATTCCACCTCTATTACCAATTTAGAAACACAAAATTCATGTATTTGATTTTTAAAGTGAGATATTCATTTTATGGTAACTCAAATCATTACCATGAGTAAAGCCAGGTCACGCAACAGTTCTTAGAACCGAATTACCTCATGGCAACCAAATACTTCATCTGCCAAGCTTCTGCAGAATAACAAGATAGCCCAGCTACCTTGCTTCCGTCATTACAGTTCTTTTAACTAAAAATTAACTTCAACGGCATCCAAACTAAAAGGCTAACCTAACTCTGTGCATGTATCAGCTATTCTAATATGCAATACAACCCAAAAAGACCTTATAATTGAACATTAAATTTCTTTCATTTCGCCATACTTGTTGTTTCTTATTTCTTCCATTCATTTTGTCAGCAGCCAAAGAGCTTTAAACAAATAACACACATAAAAACATCAAATCAACAAAAAATAATTCGACATCATTAAAATACCTAACCCTACCTAGCAGACGGAGTCGAGCAGCTAATTCATCCGAATAGGTATAAATAGAACAAAAAATTTAATTAAAAGCAAGAAAATGAAACACATTTCTGCCGCGAATCGATCTAATAAAGAAAAAAAAGGAAGAAAGAAAGATTCAATCAAAGTGAATCTATGCATAGATAACAACATAAGAACCAAAAGAATGATTTTCTCTTTCGTTTTTTAATGTTTAATACGTAGTAGTGATTCACTTATTTTTGCAATTTACAAGCAAAACGGCGTTGTTTTGTTTGTACCTGTGGAAAAGCAGGGGAGATTGCAGAGCGTTCGAACAGCTGAGATATGGCGGTTGTCGGCGAACTCAGAATGGATAAATGAGAGAGAGAGAGAGAGAGAGAGAGAGAGAGGAAGCGAGGAAAATAGAGTTTTTTTTATTTTAAAATATATATATTTTCTAGTGTTTTTCAAATTTTAGTTAATTTTAGAAGGGATAAATATTGTAACAACGCTGGAAAATAAAAATGGAAAGATTTTCTATGCTCAAGGTGCGCGGCGCGTCGTTGTCTATGGACGAGCGAGGGTCCGATTAAACGTCACCGCGAGCTCACGCGAACCCTATTAGGTTTGGTTAGGGTTAGGTTGTTTCTTTCCTTTTTCTTGCCCAAGTATTTTTCCATTTCCGCCCAGCCACCCTGGAAATATGCAGTTGTGTCTGGCTATTAAACCTCCTTTTTCTTTTTGCCATGAAAGGAAATAATTTTTCTTGATAAAATTACCACTACGTCTAAATCGTTTTACTGGCCCTGATGCTATCAAAAGCTGCCCAAAGGGTCCCTACATACAATACTGACTTCTTTTTTAGTAGCATCATTCCCATATTAATATCATGATTAATGTATAAAAGCTTATATGTATTATGTTACGGCCCTTAAAATCGATCAAAGAAACTATTACTATTGTGGTACGACGTACCTAGTCTTGGAGCAGGCTAACTGAGAATGAGCCTGCTGTCACCCTCAAATCTGGTAAGAGACGTTGATTTTGGATGGAAATGCGGAAACCTGTTCGGCTCCATGTCCAAGAACCAGGACAAAATAAACAAAACCAAAAAAAAGGAAAAAGTGGCATCCTCTTATAGATATGGAGCAATGAACCTGTCTGTATTTGCCAAATCATCCTGTAATGAAGTGAAAATATTAAAAACAATTTTTTAAATATAAAAAAGCCACAGTAAATCCCGTTTTGCCAATGTCTCTTGGGCTGTTAAAGTTTTTTGTTTAAAAAAAAAAAGAAATTACGGTAGTTTTTTGGGGTCTGCATCGGCCTTTGTGATGGGTCTGGGCCTGAGTTTTTCCGTATCTCATTCGGGCTAAGACCAGTTTTTGTTCTTGGAGGCCCATTCTCAAAGAAGAAGTTGAGTCCACAATATATTGGGTTTGATATTGGCAATCCAATTTCAATCTTGAAATTACAGTGTTTGATTCTTTTTTAAGTTTATTAGAAATGGGCTTTGCGCATTAGTTTTTTGTGTGATCGTTTTTGTAATTGAAATAAATACAAATTCTTTACTAATTTTATGTGGGTTTTAATATATATATTGATATTACTTGTTCCATAAATAAAAGGATTAGTAAAAATATGATGTCGAAATTCTCTCTCGATGAATCATTAATCCAAAATTGGCATATTGACATATATTTCAATTAATTATAACAAAAATCAGATTAATCTTAAAGTTTTTTAAATCTTTAAAATGACAATATATTGACCAATACTACTTTTTACTTTAATAGTCAATAAGATTATTGAAGTATAACTTACAATTTATAAATATATCATAAATTTATATGTTTTTAAGTCAATAAAAAAATCTTTTAATTACCAAAAACGTTATTTGAGTATCCAAACTTCAGTTTAATTATATTAAAAAAACACTAATAGTAAAAAGAAAAAAACAAAAATGGTCAACAGATAATGCACTTGTTACACATGTTTCAATTAATTTGAACAAAAATCTAAATTATATAACTTGCAATATACAAATATATATCATAAATATATATATGTTTATTAGGGTTCCGGTGCTCGTTCATGACCCACAGAGGAACTTTCCTCGCTGACCTTTGCTTTTATTTATTTGTTTTTATAATAGACAACAATCATAATCTTATCCTCTCCAACAAGAATTGATATTCCAGCTCACTGTACAGGTCATCAACTTGGTTTAAAACACCAGAAGACAAAACTTGTATTTCTGGACCGTTTTTGCTTACAAGGCAAGTGACCAGAACTTGTAACTTTTTAGGACTATTTTAATCCATCCGATGACATACGCGTGGACAGCAAATGTGGTTGGACGGCTCTAAATAAGGTGCATGTATCATGGGTCATTATTATTATTAAATTTTTTAAAAAAACTAACCTTATAAGCTTCTTAAAAAAATGATCCTATAAGGTAGACGTGACATAATTACCAAGGCAGAAAATTGAGGGAGAGAAAGTCTTGACGGTTTCGGTTCGAGGAAAGGGTCCAAGATGTCATGATGCCCCCAGCGCAGCCCCGCAAAGGAAATGGGCCGGTTAGGTGACTTAGGTCACATGTCACAACGTCCTGCCCATTGTCATCATTCTCGTGAAAGCCACTGCAATTATTACACGCCCAAGTTTGAAGTTACCTTCTTGATGAGGCAAAGAGCCTTTGGCTTTTCTTCACAATCAAAAAACAAAATAAAATGTCTTGGGATTTGCTGATTGTTTATCTTAATTTCGTCCTCACAAATTAAGAGTGTGTAGCCGTTGGCTAAATTGCATGACAGAGCCGAAGGTAAAGTCCGAAGGCTTGAAGCCTTTGAAACCGTAAACGTCCGTCAGGCTCTCAACGGTCCAACAATCGGCCATTTTTTTCTCACTCATTTTGTCGTTGTAATGACTTTGGAATACGACGTCGTCCCCTATTTTCTTTTATCTTTTCTAGTTTGCTAATTACTAATTATGGAGAAAAAGACAAGGAGAGCCCAACATTATGACGCCACGACAATTCCCTTACTGCGTACATTTTGGCACCTTGCGGAAACACCCATGGATTAGCCCACAGAAGGAACTACAATTTCTTATCATTTTTTCCGGGAATAAATTATTAGGAGTAATTAGTTTTTCCTGGTAATAATTATCCTTTAAATTATATGTTTCTTATGTTAAAAGTTAAGTAATTGATCAGTGTTTTTCCATTATTTTCACTGGCACCGAGGCTGGCCAATATGTTTCCTATTTTTATTTTTATTTTATGCGTTATTTTTACTTTTAATAAAGTAAAAATAACTTTACTCTGCGTTCTATGTCAGCAGTCTATAAATAACTTTATTCTCGCCACCTTACTCTCACTCCCTCGCCAAGCTTCTGATTCTTTCTCCATTACCCAGAGAGGAAAAATAAGCCAAATTTCTAGAGAAACCAAAAAAAAAAAAATAGGAAAGGATGGAAGGAAGAGAAGAGGATGTTAAGCTGGGAGCAAACAAGTTCATAGAGAGGCAACCCATAGGGACATCAGCACAGACAGACAAGGACTACAAGGAGTCACCACCGGCTCCACTGTTTGAGCCTGGTGAGCTCCAGTCATGGTCTTTCTGGAGAGCTGGGATTGCTGAGTTCGTAGCAACTTTCTTGTTCCTCTATATCACAGTCTTGACTGTCATGGGTGTTAATAGGGCACCTACCAAGTGTGCCAGTGTTGGTATCCAAGGCATTGCTTGGGCCTTTGGTGGCATGATCTTTGCCCTTGTTTACTGCACTGCTGGTGTCTCAGGTTAGTTAGATCACTTATCTCTGTCTCTGTTTGTTTGGGCATTGCTGAATTCTTCCTTTTTTCTCAAGAAAAGAAAAAAGATTCTCACCAACTATTTTTTCTTGCATGTGACTTGTTTCTTCAGATATCAGTCGATTTCTATGCTAAAAATAATTTTACACAAAGTTTGAAACTTGTTTGTTGGGTTTGATCACTTTGATATAAATTTGTATATTTTATCGGCCATTTCCTTGAACCTTGTTGGGTGCTGAGAGACATGAGGAAAAAAATTTGTGTTTTTGCTTCACAATCTGTTTTGCTTTGTTTGAATCTATGTGATTCACGAGAATTCTTTAATTCTTGAAAGAATTGAGGGAAGCAAAAAGCTGGTCTCGTTTGTTATATTGTCATGATGTTATATCTCAGGTGAGTCGAACTGTTACAGTACATAGTAGGTTCAGTTGGGTCATAAAATTGAGGTTAGGGACCGCTTGGGTCCCAAAACATGGAAGTCTTGACTTTTCAAAACTCTATTTTCTCAGCTTTGTCTAGTAACTAAACAGAGAGAATTGATGACTTTTCTGTAACATGTTCTTGAAAATTTTTGAGATAATTTTGATTAACTTTTTACATGTTCATGCTCTGATAGGTGGACACATCAACCCAGCTGTGACATTTGGTCTCTTCTTGGCAAGGAAGCTCTCTCTGACCAGAGCCATTTTCTACATTGTAATGCAATGCCTTGGCGCTATATGTGGTGCCGGGGTTGTGAAGGGATTCCAGCCATCAAGGTATGAGGTGTTAGGTGGTGGAGCCAACGTGGTGAACCATGGCTACACCAAGGGGGACGGCCTTGGAGCTGAGATTGTTGGTACATTTGTGCTTGTTTACACAGTTTTCTCAGCAACGGATGCCAAGAGAAATGCAAGAGACTCTCATGTCCCTGTAAGTATTTCTCCTTTATAAACATGTGTACTTTTCCTTTGCTTAGTTGTCCCCAATGCTGGTTTTAACTTAAGGTTTCAAATAGGAAATTAGTTTACTTTGGGAAGCAGGTAATACATATACATTGAACCTCTATGATTTATAGCTAGTTTAAAGCATTTTTCGTAAATTTTTCAAAAAAAAAAAAGCAATCGCTTTATCTCATTGATATCTGATATATAGGTGTTCTTTTGGCTGAATATTAGTTAGGCAGTTGAGTTGAGTAAATTGGAATATAATTGTAAATGTTAACTTCACTAGGCGGTTCAAATTATATTGTACCTTTATCCAAATTTAAGTGGAGGTGCAGATAATGCATGCAAATGTGTCTATCTTGGCAATAGGTTTCCAATGAACTCTCCTCATCAATATACTAACTTCTTGTTAAGAATTATGGAAAAAGTTTTCTGAATGATATTGGTGGTGTTCAGTGTGTGAGAGAGAAAAGTTGATCTCTGAACATCTTAACCACATGTTGGCAGGCACCCCCTTTCATCATTTAAAGTCCATTGAGGTGAATGAGTACATTTAATGTAAATTAGTGTACCACATTTATTCTGATCACGATAAAATGTGGATATGTGGTTTATTTTATCTAGGGCTATATAAACTAGTGAATTTGGTGTGCTTGCAAAGAAGGTTGGGTGCGTGACTTAATGTTATTGCCTGTGAGAATTTCAATTTTGAGCATTTTACTCCACCATTTTACTATCTTTATTTGGTCATGCTCTGTAAGTGACGACTTCACTTCTGGGAAAAAATTAACCAAATTGTTATTTAGCAACTTCACACTGTATGCTAGTCCAATTGAACCATAGATAACGTTAACACACCTAATGGTCTAGGATAGTGTTGCTGCATCTAGTTCTATTTCCTAGGGAGAATCACTCTAGGACCATTCGTGCAGACAAGTTCATTTGTGGCAGTGAATTAAACAATGCTATAAATCTTTCTTGTTGTCCAGTGTGACTAGCTGAAAGCAAATTATTTAAGTCCATAAAAGTGTCTCCTTCTGCTTCCTACTATACACTAGCTTGTTGTCCTTGTTTTCCTATTTCAATTTGCTTTAGAAGGCTGGTTGCTGACATCATTTGATCATTTCATTTGCAGATATTGGCCCCGCTGCCTATTGGCTTTGCAGTGTTCTTGGTTCACCTGGCAACGATCCCAATCACAGGAACAGGCATTAACCCTGCCAGGAGCCTTGGAGCAGCCATCATCTATAATAGGGACCATGCTTGGGATGACCACGTAAGTTTAAAATATATAACCATATTGACATATAATATTTTTGTTTAATTTATGCTTGAGATAATAGCTTACATTTCATAAACAATTTTTTTTTCCTTTGTCAGTGGATCTTCTGGGTTGGACCCTTCGTTGGGGCTGCACTTGCTGCACTTTACCACCAAATAGTCATCCGAGCCATCCCATTTAAGACCAGAGCTTGAAATCATGGTTTTTGGTTTTTATCTAGTACTATGTGTTTAATGGTATGTACTCTGAGCTTATTCTGGTATCCAGATTGGGAATTGGGGAAACCATGATTGTGTATAAAGATGTTTGACTCACTACTATCAGCAACCTTTTTTCTCAATGTAAGAAGTGTCTTTCATCACTTCAGTCTGCGTTTCTGTTAAATCTCGAACGAAGCAAACCTTTGCTGTCCGCACATGACTGAACTGATTTATGGGCCTTAGCCTATAAGGAACATTGGGTTGATCTAAAAGCCACCCAAATCGAGTTCTATCAACTCAACCCATAAACTGAAGAATTTGCCTCAATTCTGGCACAATTACCGCTGGAAGACAGCCCAAAACCGTCCAATGTAAATGCTCAGCCACTGAGTCAGGTACAACTTGCTAGTCATAATTGCAGGAAGAAAACAACATAAGTTAGTTGTTGGGGGCAACGTTTCATCGGTGAGGCTGTTGGTGGCTGGCATCTACCGACCCAGTTTCCCCGCCCTCAAATCTCTGCATGTGGTGTGGCTCTTAATTTCCACCAATAAATACATCACAACTTAAATTCGAGACCCTTCCACCCCATTTTGGATTAAGTCATTAAATAACTCTGATCTTTGGACAACATCCCAAAGATCTTTTAATGCCCGTGAGATGCTAAACGTTGCTGGCTTCACGTTTGGGGTCACTTTTGAAAAGAGATGTGAACTATAGGAAATATTGATGAAGGGTTTCATTCTAGTTGACAATTTAGTCTATTTTCCATCTAGCTCCAATCAATTCCTTAACCGAAAATGCAGCTCCTAATAAAAATTAGGGTTTTGAAATTGAGAAAGGGAATGGGACATTTGAGATAGACTACACCTATCCCAATTTTGAACTTAACACGTCTTTAATGCAGGCCATAAGGGTTCTGATTAATTGAAATGGAAAAGCAAGCAATGAGAGTGACTCTCCTACTGTTTCCAACAAAATCTTGCTAAAATCCCTTATTTTTCCCACACGTAATCAGATTCTTACTTGCTTGGATTAAGAATGTAAGGCCACCTATAAAGACAGAAAAACCCCATTTGAAACTGCTGGAATTCCCAACAACTCCAACCAACTCTAGCAAGCCAACTCCCATAAAATTTAATTTAAATTTGGTTATAAGATTTATCCAACATTCCTATTTCATGCATTTATTTCATATACTAAGAATATCATGTGAATTTGACAAAAGAACGACATCAAAACTTTGGTATCAATGTACACTTTTTCCTTATCTTGCCATTTTGTTCTAACATTTTGATTTTGTCTTATGACTAATATTCTGCTTATGACTAATAAATAACTAATTATAATTAAAACATTTTTTTGTTATTTTTATATTACATGGCATGTTAGCTTAATATAATAAATAGTTAAATGTTATGCTCAAATGATATTATCACGTAATATTTTTATTCTCCACATTAACGTTATGTGAATATAAAAAAATTAATATTTTATTTTAAAAAAATATTTAATTTAAAATAATAATATAAGAATTTATTAAAGAGAATAAAATAATATGAATTTATTTATATTTTCTTATAAAATAAAAAAATGAAAACATTATGAATAATAATATAATTTAACAATACCATACCCGTTTAACTTTTAATTTGTACGAAGTCTAACCATTGCTGGTGCAAGAAATTATTGCTATGCTCTCACGATGTAAAGACCAATAGGGAGACGCCACGAGATAAAATAAAAAACAAAATTATGCATCCATGTAATAACAAGTTGCAGTGGCAATAAATTTGATCGCTCGCCGACATGTCATTTTGTAATAGGTCCTTTTCACGTATTAATTTCATCATGTGGGCTTTAAATACATTTTTTTTTTTATTTTTAACTCACAGTAGCTCCACGTCAAATCGTCTGGCCGATGACACCAAATTAAAAAAGAGACAGAGAACTTGCATTTTCAAAGGCAACTATTCCTTCGGTTGCAACAAGTAACTAAAATTGAGCTTATCATCTAATTAGGAAATATAGGTAAAATATTTGTTCTGTCGGGCCACCAATCTTTGATCTAAAATATATCTAATTTTATGTTGCGGTGGTAGAGCCACCTTTGGCTTAGTTAATTGTAAGCATGGTTTTACCATATCAACTCAACACAGCCTAGAACATGGAGATCCTTCAAGAAAAAAAAGAAAAACAAAATTCTCAAGCAAAATTACCCTTTTATCCATTTATAAGTATAGTTTTATCGGTATAATTATATAATATTATTTAATCACAAAATGTGATCTTATAAACAAGTAAAGATAAAAATTTTAAAAAACTTTTATTTAAAGATTTTTAATTTTTTTAAAATTATTTATTAATAAAATAATAATATTTAGTATATTAATGATGATTATGATGATGAAGACCGGAAAGGTGCTGTTCGGTGGAAGGAAAAGTTACAGTAGTAAAAGCAAGAGGCAACGACGGTAGATGTAGATATAATGATAAGCAAGGTAACAATAACATGTATATTTGAAGTAGTGACAGAGGGAAGGTGGTGGCCAACTCATCACTCTTCAATGTTTAATTTTTTTATTATTATATATATAAAATATGAGATATACAATTATTTTTAATTATCTCTAATATAAAATCTTGAATACGTTATTACTATTACCATGAAGGAAAAGAATATAAATTAAAATAAATTAAGAGCAAAAAGGAAAGGGAGATTCAGAAATAGACAGTAATTATCAGATTTGGCACATTGCTTAGCCTGGTAAAAAGGAGTTTTTTTTTTTCTTTTTGTTGTAGATGTTTCCATTTTGTAAGTTTTATTGAAAGTTAACCACTTGGTATTTTAGACAAGATTTGTAACTTTTGTTCAATAGAAACTCTTAGATATACAGCAAAATAATGGAAATATATTGCCTTTATTAAAAAATATTCCACACTTTTTTAATTTATATATAAAGGGTATATTAGTCACTTCAAAAATACTCTGCGTGTCTGACCCGCCATAATCTCAGACCCATTATCGTAATTTCATATTTCAACCGCCACATTTAAAACACAGCGTTCCCTCTCTCCTACCCCAACGCCTCTGCACTAGGTCCCTTGAAAAAGCAGAGGAAAACAGAACAATTAAATAGGGAAAAGAGAAAAGGGCAAAGAGAGAAGAAAAATGGCTTCAGCGAAATCGGGGCGAAGCTTTCCGTCGATAACGAAATGCGAAGGTTCTACCTACGAATCGATCGCCGCCGACCTCGACGGCACGCTTTTAATCTCTCGAAGCTCTTTTCCTTACTTCATGCTTGTGGCCGTTGAAGCTGGAAGCCTCCTTCGAGGTCTTATCCTTCTTCTCTCTCTGCCTCTGGTCATTGTTTCTTATCTCTTCATTTCCGAAGCTATTGGTATCCAAATCCTCATATTTATCTCCTTCGCTGGACTCAAGATCCGCGACATCGAGCTCGTCTCCCGTGCTGTTCTTCCCAGGTATCAAAAACGCAAAATAGATTCGTACCTTAATCTTAATCATTTTAAAGACAGTCAAATTTTATCGTTAGTAAACTTTTAGAAAGTAGTTTCTGCTTAAGTTGATGAGGTTTTTTTATGTTAATAATTTGGATAGGTTTTATGCTGCGAATGT